TTAATTTTATTTCATATTATTTTAGTATAAGGACCAAACTTTGTGCCAGCATGCATTTTGACATGATTTCTCACATACCAAGACGCGTTTTGAAGGCTTGAAGTTGCTCGAATTTTCGCTTTTTGCAACAAGTGTTTGAGAGTACTTTGTTAAAAAATCTTGTAATTTTTAAAATTAAACCAAAGCTCCTAAAAGTGCCATAAATAAAAATCAAATGAATTATATTTTCAAGTAAAAACATCCCCGATTTCTTACGAAACATCCTCCTTCAGTACTAGCACACTAAAGTTGCTCAATTTTACTGTATTTTTTGCATAATTAATTAGGTAAAAACCCGAATTTTCGTTTTTCCCCATTTTCTCGGAAACAGTTTATTTTTCCAGACTTCGAAATATTTTTTTCTAATATATCTCCCTAAAAGGGTTTTCCAGGAAAATTATCAGAATTTTCGATTTTTCAGCTTGGCCAGCGATTCTCGATATTTACAGTCATGGGCTCTTAAATATTCTCCCGTAAAAAAAATTCCTTTTTTTTTTACACATAACCAAATGTCGGAAAAAACGTTTCGAGAACTGCAATGTCGAGGCCTCGAAAATGCCTATGAGACTAAGGGGTTACAGAAATAAGGAGCCATAAATGAGTTTGTACCGTCCTCAAGGTTGGACGTGTCCGCGTAAATTATCGAAGTAAGCTTTATTGAAGTAACTGAGAGCGACTTTTACCAAAATTTATTTGTTTGTAGACCAACTGGCTTTAACACGAAGCAAATATTTTAATTAATCTTTGTCGAATTCCGGTCGCACGTAATGCTTCTTTTGACTAAATCTCTGTCATCGAAAAAAAAAAACTGCTTCAAAACCGCGGTTCTCTTCGAAATGTCGAAAAAAGTTTTTTCAAGGTCTGTGTTTTCGAGGTCTACGGTCTGTGTTTTCGAGACACCCTGGTTTGGTGATACCTTGGATGTTATAACGAAGGATCTTTCGGTGACACTTGGCGCCTCCTTTTCCGAGACCTTTACCGCCTTTACCCCGACCGGACATGTTAACAGTTTCAAGTACAACTGAACTAGATAATTCTCTGAATCTATGGGTTTTATATAAACAGATGAATGACCTTGTAGAAAACAAGACATCCATGAGTATTCTCATTGGTTCAGGGCTTACGTACGGTTAATATTACCATACAATACAATAAAGCGCACACTAGACGCACAGGACTTGCTTAGGCTTCATGTTATGGAAAATTTAAATTCTCTTTTCCACTGCTAATTCCATAATTAACTCTCCAGAAATAAATATAACAAAATATTTTGCTATTTGTAAGTCTTATATCCGAAGATAGTAATCAAATAAAGCTGGAAAGAACATTCATTATTATTCGGATCGAAGTGCCACCACAGACCCCAGAGCTTTCTGGACTTAGCCAATCAAATATCTTCATTTTGAACCAATCAGAAACAAGTCCGCCAGTAATAAATATATTAGTATTCTGAGATCGTTACAGTAAACTTTCTCGTATTCGTTGAGAATATGGCTCGTACCAAGCAAACTGCACGAAAATCAACTGGTGGTAAAGCTCCACGCAAACAACTTGCCACAAAGGCAGTTCGTAAGAGCGCTCCTGCTACCGGTGGAGTCAAGAAACCTCATCGAAGACACCAACTTGTGCGCCATCCACGCCAAGCGTGTCACCATCATGCCCAAGGACATTCAGTTGGCCCGTCGAATCCGCGGAGAGCGAGCATAAGCAAATAACCTCCATCGCAAAACAACGGCTCCTTTAGGAGCCACCACATAACTAAAAGCAATGACCAATAACGTTTACAGCATAGGTAACACATATGCACGCTCCGAAAATTTGGGTATAATCCTTTTGAGCGTCACCCCTGAAAACATGGCGAAATTGTTCATTATGCTCGTTTTCAATGATACAGAAGATTTCAGAGTCCGTCGACCTTCCCTTCAATTTCTACCACCAACGGCTGCAACTTGCTAAGAATAAAAGCCTTACAGAGGTCTGCTGAAGTTCAGGACACAACATTTTACCCGGCATCAATTTTACTAGATCAAATTCCAAGAGAGCAAACAAGAAAAGAAAGCTCACTGTGGTCAGCACTTAAGCTACAGAATACTTATTCCGTGTTGAACTGTAGTACCAAAGAGATTTTTTAGAAGTTCAAGCATTACTTCGGTGCCCTGACTATAATAGTCAGATAGCATCATGCCCAAAATTATGCCGGCATAATTTATCTGAACCTCACGAGACCTGAAATGACCATATTACCAATAAAGAAAATAGATCGCAGTTACATTTTCTATTTATAGATTGCATCAGTTGTGCTCCAAAAATAGTAACTCTAGAGGTTGTCCTCTTGGAAAATTTATTTACTTTCCACGCTGTAACGGTGTCTGCACTACCGCCGAAATCATCTGCCTGGGTTACAAAAATTGTGGCACAGATCGGCGACACAGAAGTCGATTCGAACAGTGCGAGAGATCGAAGCGGTTAATCATAGGGCTCTAGTCTAAGAAGGATTTTCTTTAATATGTACTACATGAGCTTACACCTTAGCTTACTCTTGTCCATATTCGAGTGAAATATAAACGAGAAAAGAAAATATAGTCTTCGCGATGAATCTTTCTTTCCATTCGCTTTCACTCCATTGTGGCAAAATTGACCCCCCGCACTTACTCAGGAACATTTTGCGCGCAATTTGCCTCGAGTAACGATTGAGTAGAGCTTTCAACCATGTGGCTTTTAAAGATCAAATGTCTTTTCCCTGTTTTAAGATCGTAGAATGTTGTAAAGCCGATCGTTGAGCATGGTGAAGCTTACTTAGGTTTGTGTCTTGCCTTGATGCGTGTGTTGTGGGATAGTGCCCGGCTTCGAAATAGGCTTCAGTCGCTTCTTGAAATCTTATTTATGAAAATTGGAAATGCTGTGGTCACTTCAGTTGCCTATTTATTTCTTTAAACTTCTCATACATTTCAAATTATGAGATTTCTACCTTTTGGTTATGGACTAAACAGGGCATGAATAATTAAGACGCCGACACAATAGAAGTGAGAAAGGTTCGAAAGCCAAATCATGAAATAAAAGAGTGATTAGTTATTTCAGATGGTCAAATCGGTATCTTCGCGCTAATTCTCCCAATTCATAGTATTTCAAAAGTAATCCACCACGTAGTTTCCAAAATAAATCAAATAAAGCTTAAATTTCCTTGTTTTGATCCACATTTCAATTTGAAAAGTTGGTTGGATAGGAAGAAGTATCTCCCGGGAAACGGAGACAAAGAGAAGACGAAGATCTGTCTTTGTTGTTCATGTATAAATACCTTTTATCCATTGGAAATGGTGGATCAGTTTAATTAAAGGGTAAAATTTTATTTTCAGGGAGTTTCTCTTATATAATATTATCGATTTTATTGGAAGCAACCATCATTACGGATGTTATTTGGCTCTACTTACGAATTGTTTTCAAAAATCTAGGTGCTGTTGTACTTTTTTCGCTGAAAATACCATACCTAGCAGGTCTTAAATGAAATATGTTAAAGACGAACTTTTTTAATAGATATAGAAATTATAATTTTTAGATCGTGATTACAATTATAGTGATAAAATACTATCCCATGGACCAAAACGTGAAGTGAACTAGCACAAAATTCGACAACGCCATGTTGTTCGCTTTTGTTTTCTCGGCGGTCCGCACTTGGCGCATATACTATATAACGAAGTCTCTACGAAACATTCTCAATTTCCTTAGTGATACTGAATTGTTCGATCCGAAACCATGTCCGAGACAAAGACTAAGAAGCCGGCCGAGAAAAAGCCAGCCGAGCATCCACCCTATTTAGATATGATCAAAGCTGCTGTCGGAGCGTTGAAAGAGCGAAATGGTTCTTCCCGTCAAGCCATCGAGAAGTACATAAAGGCCAACTTCAAGGTTGGTGAGATCGGCCCGCACTTAAAGATGGCTTTGAAGAGGGGTGCCGCTAATGGACAGCTTCTACGCACCAAGGGAGTTGGTGCTTCTGGTTCTTTCAAGCTACCAAAGGAGGAGAAGAAGCCGAAGAAACAGCCAGCTGCAAAGAGGAAGCCTGCTGCAAAGAGGAAGCCTGCCAAACCAAAGAAGCCTGCTGCCAAACCAAAGAAGCCCGCCGCCAAGAAACCAACGGCGAAGAAGACTGTAAAGAAACCTGCGGCTACGAAGGCACCAGCTAAGGAACCCGCAGCCAAAAAATCGGCAGTTAAAAAACCGGTAGCGAAGAAGCCCGCAGTTAAAAAAACAGCAGCCAAGAAGCCCGCTGCTAAAAAGCCCGCCAAAAAGCCAGTGACGAAATCTCCCGAGAAGTCCACCAAGAAGTAGAAACCTGACATCAACTCTTCACCAAAACGGCTCTTTTAGGAGCCACCACATTCGAAAAAAGTCCCATCCAACTGAGAAACACAGATAGTGTATCTATGTTTGCGTGCTGTCTTTGCATATTGGTCGAATGATTTTCCGAACTATTGATGGTCAATAGTTTTATAGTATTAGACCGAGGGGCAGGTTAACAACTAAGAAAATCTCCAAAACAAATGTCTTCTAATCGTAGGCGTATAAAAGTACTTCCATTATCTGTTAGATTGGTGAATCTCCTCGAAATGCTATGTATTTCCCTGTGAACTTGTGAGTGTTACATCACGATGACTCCTTCCAGCTATGGTGGGATAAACTATGCTCAAACTGTTTCATTTTGATGGCACAATTTGATGCATCCTAAAATTATTACCTCTTTGCTGGATATTGGAAAATGTGTAGTCAGGAGATGTCATGAGTTTTATGAAAATTGATAAAGGCTTAAGCATTAGCCAGAAGGTCTGTTTCAGAAATAACAAAAGTCAGAGGCAACCAATTTTCATAAACCATTTTACATTTGTTTGAAGGTATTCAATCATGAGTTCTTGAAGTTTTAAAGATCATGACAGGCTTAAAGAGTTTTTCTTTATCAAGAATCCCTACCTCTTTTTCAACATTTTGCTTCAACAAAATCATTCATGGGATAGTCAACAAATGATATCAAGAACTACTTTGGTCACTTCGTCAAATGCTATGCATGGTAAAAAAAAAAAATGAAATATTTTTCTAACTTTATGCCTTAGGGCCCCCTTCCATTGTCTAAATGGTATGGAGTTGTAAGGTGGTAGGGAAATGAGTGAGGTGATGCAAGTTAGGAAACTTCAGAAAGACTAGCATTTCCCTTCAAAATTGTGTTGTGCTTTGTGTGAAGGAGAATTAAACTTTGCATCAAAGTCCTGAACACCTTAATCACTGTAGCCCCTTCAATTCCTGATAGGCTTAACCGGAGCTCATGTAACACAAGGCACAAGTAATGTGGGGCACTCTCCAACAACTTCCTGAAATGATATAGAAAGAAAAAACTGCACAAACCAGGGGGTGCACCTTTCAAAATGAAAGGTTTCTCCTGAAATTAGATGTTAAGTGTCAAGGGTTGGAAATAACCTTACACACTAAACACACAAGAATATTCTTAAGCAAGTAGTATAGGTTTCCCAACCCTTCAACCGCATCAGTGATTGGCATTTTATTTCTCCTTACAATATATCACAGCTGAATCAAACAATGAGGTTATGAGAATGAAAGAAAATGATCACCATCTAAAGAGGCTCTTGATTGCAAAACAAATTCTCCTTGTCAGCACCTTAGGAAATATATAAAGGCTTATAGTTTCTAAAGAAACTGTTTGGGGCTGCTTCGGTGGGGGTAACGAAATAATTTGGATCTATCAACAAAGTTGAAATGGTAAATTGGAAAATTTACCTTAGGAAATATGTAGAGAACAGGATGGAGAATAACCACACTGATGTTAGGCTATAAAGGGTTATTTTCAATGTTGCTAAGCTGATCACTTTCCACGTTCTCATCCTCTTTTTCCTTGAAATGTGATCGATAAGAAAAAGAGAACTTGCATATACATCACTCAGGGAAGGGTTATATCACAATAACAATGAGCTGCCTGAAAATTTGTTTATTCTTTCCAAATAGTGGTCACAGTCACCATACAGTGGCCATAAAATGTCCACATATTCTTCATTTTTTAGCCACATAAAAGTCAAAATACTATTACAGCTATAAATTTATGCTGTAAGGCTGGGAGCTAGTCTTTTTCGTTTCTTTACTTTTTTTTTTTGCTGAATTACACAACACAACCAGCTTAAACACAAATCTCCCGCATTATTGTTGCTTTCTGTCCAAAACTTCAAGGGATTGTAAAACTGTAATTGAAAACACTGTGTTAAAGCTGTCAGTATGTGTTCCCATCCCAAATTGACCCACAGAAAGCAGAACTGATACCCTGTAATGACAAAAGTCCTTCTTGCCAGCAAATGTTTTTAATATCAAAATCCTTTTCCTCTTCCTACTCAGCTGCAAAAATTAAATCTAATTATCTACTAATCTTAGAGGATAACACAATTATCTTTTTTCTGTGGTTTGTTCGCATGATTTTTGGGTACTGTTCTTTCTAACAGTGCTGGTTGAATTCTTTGAATCTGCTGCATCATCAGTTGAAATGATTCCTCGACATTTAATCCAGTCTGAAACAGGATACAAAAAGAACAACAGATTCATTTATAATTCATCTTTTAACTCTTTAAGTCTGGTTAAAAAACATTTATTAAATAGATACTGATGAAATACCAGGATTTTTCCTTTTACTGAAAAATCATATCTTCATCGCACACACTGTGAAGATACTATTTTTATCTTTCACGTGTGAGGATATTGGTGTTGCCATGATTACTAACATGATTTTTCTTCACTTTTTTTTTTTATTCTTCTCTTCTTCATTAGAATTTGACAGGCATTTTGCAATAGGTAACCACTTTAATTGCACTATTTTGCTGTTTCAAAAATGAATAAAAAAAGTTGTGTTTCATGTGGAAATTTCATCAGTATCAATAAAATAAACAGAACATTACATGGCCCCTTGGGGATACAAATTTTATCTTCAAGTGCTGAAAGTATCTCTTGCTCATTCACCTCACTCACTCATGAGAGATACTTACAGCACATGAAGATAAAATTCATATCCCCCTGCAGCCATGTAATATCCTCCATTTATTATATAGATACTGATGAAATACCAGGATTTGTCCTTTTACTAAAAAATCATATCTTCACTGCATGCAGTGAAGATACTATTTTTATCTTTCACGTGTGAGGATATTGATGTGGCCATGGTTACCAACATAATTACCCAATTGCTGTTTCGAAAAATGAATAAAAAAAGTTGTCTTTTCTGTGGAAATTTCATCAGTATCTATATAATAAACAGAACATTACATGGCCGCTTGGGGATACGAATTTTATCTTCTC